TTCCTTTTCTCTTTTTTTTATAAGGGCATAGATGAATTTTTCATCCCTTAATTACTGGACCTTTGTGGAGCTTACCTCAATTTCTTTATTTTATTTTTAACACATTCAGTGACTCAATCTCACTCAAGGTAAGTCACATGAACATAGGCTAAGCCATAAATAAGGCACAGGTCATTTATCAACAAATAAGTTCAGGCTCAAAGGGGCTAGCAAGAGAAAATTTCATACAGGTGGGCTATTTTGGCCATAAGCTAATAAGAACAAAATGCCTTTATCATATCAATCAATGCATGCATAATAGAGAAACATATCAAGTTCTAGAGTATTACAACAGTGAGGCCTCTCAACAAATATTTCAGTGTTTAGGCTCAAACCTCACAATTATGGTATCAATCAGACTCAAGAAAATTGACCTCAGACATTATCAGAATTTCACAATATTAATTCAGACAAACGAGCAATCATGCAATCCAATTATGCCTATGCAATGTCATGCCAGAAAGTCATACAATATATTCCAAGAATTCAGTCAAGCACACTAACTATATAAGCACATTTAAACCTGAGAATTGCTTGAAACATTTTTTTTTAAATACAGAGCACACAAAAATAACTAACAAAATTAACTAAGAAAATTTAAAATAAGTTTAGAATATCTCCCCTGATAAAAGAACTGCAGTTTCAAAATGCTTTCCTAAAGCCTACCATTCCCAGATTTAAAGAATCGCTGTCCCCAGCAATAATCAATCCCAAAAGATGGATGATAAACCTGCACCAAGGAACAAACTGTGGCATATAGGATACTATAATGCGCACAATACAGCATCAGAATACGTGGGAAATATACAAACTTAAAACAGCAAAGTGACCCTAACATTCCTATGGTCATGATAAACAGCAAAGTACTAAAAAGATAAATAAACTAATATACACCAAATCTCCGTCGCAAAACTCTAGTTCAATAGATACTGTAGGAGCCGAACTAGGAGCCATCAAATTCAAATTATTTCATGCAAAACCTGCTCAAGCGGAAGAAGAAGAATCAGGTAACGGGAATATATGTGTGTGTATATATGCTAACAAGAATATCTTTTTTTTTTTTTTGGTAAATTATAACAAGAATATCTTTATTCACGCATCGAATTGATATCACATATATATGTGCTAATTTAAAGGCATTGATTCTCATTTTTATATCATATATGTGCTAATTTTATTAATTAAAGATATTATTCACGGTAACGTAATAATTTTAAATATGCGAGAGTGAAAGTTCAAATTTAGGAGATATTTTATTTTATATATACACATTACAAAAAACTATATAAACTCTATAAATAATATTCTTAATTAATAAATTTAACACACATATACATATACTAGGAAACACGGACACGTAATTCTACTAATAGTGATGAACACAGGCCCACCCTAGTGGGCCAAAACTTTTCGCGGGATCCGACCATGTTGCATGTAGAAATAAAATCTTTAATAAATATAACTATTGTTAATATAAATATTGTTAATATTAATAGAAGAATATTCGTATGAAACATATCTGTGTTAATTTAAAGGAATTGATTCTCATTTTTATATCATATATATGTGCTAATTTTATTAATTAAAGATATTATTCACGGTAACTTAATAATTTAAAATATGTGAAAGTGAAAGTTTAAATTTAGGAGATATTTTATTGTATATATACACATTACAAAAAACTATATAAACTCTATAAATAATATTCTTAATTAATAAAGTTAACATATATATATATATATGTTAAATTTATTCATTGGGAATATTATTTACGGTAATTTAATGATTTAAAATATGCCAAAATGAAAGTTAAAATTTAGGAGTCATTTTATTTTATATATTCACATGGAAAAAAAAAACTAAATTTTAGTGTGCTAATTTTATAATATTAATTTCCATTTTTATATCATGTGCTAATTTTATTAATTGATTAAGGATATTATTTACGTAACCTGTGACAACTGATCGAAAGTTCAAATTTAAGCGATACATATATTATATATACTAATGAAAAAAAAAACAAAGCTATATATGTTCAAGCCCAGTCTGACCACATGTGATGTATATGCTTACAACTTTGATCTGGTGATGCTAAAACAGTTAGAAGTATTAGAGCTAAATCTTAAGCTCCAAAGTAAAGGACCATAGTCTCCACTTACATGAAGAAAGATGACTTATAACCAATCCCTAACCCCTCTTGTCACACAAAAATCCTATCAGGAAGCATAGAATTATAAAATTAAGTTTCACCACAGCGATGTGTTAAAGTGGAACAAAGAGTTAATTATGGAAATAGAAAAAGATCAAAATTTGACCTGTGATCCCTGGAACAAAGAAGCTACTATACCAAGTCAATCATCAGTTGAAAATTAGAAATATAGATTAATTTGTCAAACTCTGAAAGAAACTATATTCCCTCACAAACCGAAAAGAGAACCAAAAAAAAAAAAAACCAGCAACTTCCATATCCAAAAAAAAAAAAAAAAAATCAAAAGGAGTTTCTTTTTAGTGCGTGTATAATAAGGAGGGAACTAGTCCAGATAAAAAAAAAAGTCTAAGAAGGATTAGCCTTATGAAAGCTTAGCATTACATCTTTATTTAAAAAGGAAATTAAACCCTAAAGGAGGAGTTTGAAAAATTATGATGATTGTTTCCTATCTTTGAAACTAGTTTAGCTAAGCAATGAGCACATGAATTGTCTGATCGCTCAATGAAAGAGCCTTGAATATATCAATCCTTTTCTAGCCACTAATCAAAATTAATAGATAATTTAATTTTAAAAAGGGAAAGAAAAGAAACCTGAACAAAAGATGATGGTGGGGGAAGGTGCTTGCAGAGAACAGAAGAGAAGAGCTTGTTCCTTCGAGGGATCAAAGTGATTTGAGAGAGAAACTGTCATTCTAGCTAGGGTTTCTCAAAAGCCAAACGTACAACATCATTTAGGTTCTCCGAAAAGCTCATTGTCGGATCTCGCTGAACACTCACAGCACCACCTTCGTAAGGAGAGAGAACGGTAAATAGATAAAACGATTGCGTTTCAAATTCAAGAGAAAATGGAAGAAAGCCCACAAACTTAGGGTTTTGATTGAGACTCTCTAAATCCCTTGCTTTATCCCGTTTTCAAGTGGTTATTTTATATTATTTATATGCATTGAAATGAGCCATTGGGCGGAGTTTTCTCCGGAACCTCTGGGTTACTGAGATATATCCGTATATCTCACCTCATCTTGGGGGCTTTATTTCAGGAGGTAGCAGTGGCACCGGAGCAGCGGGAAAGAAGCCCGTAGGATGATTAGTCGGAGCACTTTTATTATTTTGCATTTTGTGGCCGTTGGGCCTATGCTAGACTTAGAGCATGAACATTGTATATGTGGTTAGGATGAGTTTTATGTCATATTTGTTCATGCTATTTTTGCCTAAGTCTAGGTACATGTAGTTTATGTCATTTAAGCTTATGTTTCAAGTTGTAATATTTAAATGAGATGTTGTAAGTATACATGAATATTGATGTAATATGATGGAAGGACTTTAGGCCTATTTTAGGATTATGATGATATGTATGTTTAGAAAATGCATGTAAATGGACATTGGTGATTGAAATAAGTTAAGGATTTATAAAGTGATCAATATGGTATGAATTGTGTAATAACTATAAACTGAGTTGGGTTGTAAGTGCCCCAAGGCATTGTTGGTCCTTGTGTGTGCCAGCCATTGGCTATTAGGTACATTTGAGGTACTAGAGAGCATTTGCAAATTTGGGGATTTTAGAAAAAATAAAGGAAACTCTGGTGAATTTTTATTAGAATTGGCGGAATTTAGGCAAACTTCGGGAGAGCATATCTCCCTCCATAGAAGTCCGATAGGGACGTTCCATACACTATTTTAAAGCTTGAGATGTGCCCTACATTGTGTTAAATTCTAAGAATTTTCAGGGTTGGACGAAGCCCTGTAGAAGCCTGTGAATACGGACTGTCCAGAACGCACCTGTGCAGGGGTTGATTCTGGCAGTTTTTGGGAATTTTATCCCCGCTTCGTTTCTCAGTCAAATTAAGCGTATGATATATCAAATTGAATCTTTAGATGTCTAGTTTGTTGTGTAAAAATTTGAGAGAAAATGGTTGAGTGGATATTCTGCAGTAATTCGTGGTGTGAGAGACGTTTGGAGCTGTTTTGGGGTTGGTTGACAGTTTTGCTTGTCCAACTTCAAACGACGATATCCAGAGCAAACGAGATCGAAATGACTCGTGTGATGGCTCATTGGAAAGATAGGAAAAGATGAAGGACTGTTTTTGTGCGGTGTGTCCGCAGAAAAATAATTACCGAACCATGTTCGGTTAGGTAGAAAATGTAAGATTGAGAAATTGGCTAAGTGGGTTTATGGGAACCCCTTAGTGACTTGTATTAAGTAAAATGAAATATAAAAATAGTTTAAACAAGTATTCCGCAAGAGTTTACAGTTATGGTCACAGCTTTTATTTATTACGCTTTTTACGGGTTTAAATGCTCGCGTAATAAGCGAAAAAAGTTTACTCGCATTTTTATTAATGAATTACTGTGATTGTAACTGCGCTTAATATCATAACCGGTGTACAACGGGCTGTTACATAGGCTCAGCCGGGTCTATGCATCTAGGGCAATGGGCCAGGTTGTTACAAAGTGATGTAACACTAAGTGACAAGGAGTTGTCAACCTGATGATCTAAGAGAAGATATGGAGATATTGTTGATAAGATCAACCCCTTAGATAAGTTAGTTTTGCAGGCTCAGCCGGAGACTAATGGACCTAGTCATTCTCTTAGCCCACTAAGGATGTCCTTGTGAAGGATAACCCTAAATCAATCACCGAGTGTCATTGATTTTAAATAAAATAGTGGGAGGGCCAAATACGTTTAAAAAGTCTCCGTTTTGGTTATTATCATGAAATACTTATGTAAGTTTATATTTATTTTCAGAAATTCAGTTATGGCCGAAAATTTGAATTTACGCTATATTCTGGATACTAACAAGTTAACTGGACCAAACTTCATGGATTGGTATAGGAATGTAAAAATAGTTTTACGTTCTGAAAAGAAAGCATATGTTCTGGATTCTCTTGTTCCAGTTGCCCTTGCTGAGGGGCAAGATGGGTATGACCAGTATGACTGGGAAGCTCATAGACAGCATTTGGCAGACAATGAGCAGGCAGTATGTATATTGCTTGTGTCTATATCTGCAGAGCTTCAGTGTCAGCACGAGCATATGGATGCTCCCTCCATAATCTTGCATCTGCAAGAGCTTTATGATAAGCAAGGGAGGGCTGAGCGTTTTGAAACCTCCAAGGAGCTGTTTGGCTGTAAGCTGGCTGAGGGTATGGCGGTTAGACCGCACATCCTCAAGATGATTGGGCTGATAGAGAAGCTTGCTTCTCTGGGTTTATCATGAACCATGAGATAAGTGTTGACTTAGTCTTGCAGTCCTTGCCACCTTCATTTAATGGCTTTGTGGTTAACTACCATATGAACAAGGCAGAGACAACGCTCCCAGAGTTGTTGAATCTCTTGACCACTGCTGAGGGTGCTGTTAAAAGGAACAGGACCCAAGATCTTCTGATTGGCGGGCCTAAAAAGACCAAGGGTAAAGGCAAGTCTGTAGAATCAGACAAGCTCAAACCCAAAGGTCAGCCCAAGAAGAAGAAGGGCAAGGGAAAAGTGAAAGGAAAGGAGAAATCCAAGGACAATGCTAAAACTGTATGCTTCCATTGTCAGAAGGAAGGACATTGGAAGAGGAACTGCCCATTATTCCTTGTGAGCCTCAAGGGAAAGAAGCATGATGATGCTTCAGCCTCTGGTATGTTCGCTATAGAAATTAATTTTTCAAGTGTTGATTCTGCTTCACGGGTATTGGATACTGGCTGTGGATCTCACATCTGCAATTTGTTGCAGGTACTAAAGAGTCCTAGGAAGCTGGAGAAGAATGAGGTCAATCTCCGCGTCGGGAATGGACCATTGTCACTCTCCTCCATGACCATCCTCCTAGCAGCATGGAATGGGTCAGGAACAAGACGATACAGCTGTGGGTCCATAAATGGCTGTGAGGGCATGGGAACATCAGCTGGAGCTGGAGCAGGATAAGGATTTTGATACACATAGGGAGGAGGAACCTCTGGGTATACAGGCTGGAATGTCTCAAACGGTACAGAAGGATATGCATGCTCCAGGAAGCGCTGAAATTATTCTCCCTGCATAATGATCTTCTCATTCTGAATAGACAGCCGTGAAAGCTGCTGTTGCATTCCATAAAAATGAAAAGTAGGAGAAGGTCCCTGTGGAGCAACTGGAGCTGCTTGAGCATAATGTGCTTCAGGAGCATCTGGCTCAGGTACCTGAGATTGAATAAGCATACATGGAACACGTGGAGATGGAGGCCTAGTAGCTTTTTGGCTGTTGCTTCTGAACTCAACCTCAGATTTATTACACTGATCTGTGTATGTAGCCAAAGTCAGCATAGATGCAGGTTGAACATCAAACTCCTCATCCACAGCGATAAGCACTCCTGCCCTGGTACACAAGTGGAAAATAAGATAAGCAAAACCCAAATGTTCTTTCCATCTACTCCCTTTTACCATATGATAAATTCTATCAGATAACACTGTAGAAATGTCCAATCTTTCTGGCCCAATAAGAATGTTTAATAGAGATGCCCGCTCAATATTCACATCTGATAGATTAGAAGAGGGCAAGATATTAGCATTCACAAAACAATGCCAGAAACGGCATTCACCAGTCAGCTCTTTCATACGTAACTTTTTCTTGGATACCACCAGTTCTAGTGTCCCATTTGGAGAATGGGTGAGTAATCCATGTCCTTACCCTTTTTGTCAAAAAAGGAAATTCATCCCGGTAAATCCTACGCCCCATACTAGGCAACATTATGTTATACAAGGAGGTATACTCACAAGAAGTATGTTGCCTAAAAGTTGTCAGCAGGTAGGACTCAATGGTGGCTGCATCAAAAGGAACCACAACTCCTCTAACCCATGAAGTTCTAGTGGTATCTAAATCCTCCAGTTCGGCATTGGCACATAACTCCTTAACAATTGAGCTTGAGGCTGGTTCAGCATAACTTACCAGCACCTCCCATTTCCTTCTTTGGATGGTTTGCATAATAGGATTATCTTATGGCAAATCCATATCAATGGTTCTTTCATGAATGAAGCCCTTGTTCTCATAAAGGTCATAGAATCTCTTTTGGGCTTCCATGTTCACAAATCTGCTTTCATCCAGCTGAGAAACTTTTCGCTTCTTTTTACTACCACTTGTCGCTGGTTTCTTACCCATAAAGGTCTGAAAATCAGAAAAGTAATCCAGTGCAAAGGGTATATAAAATATCACAGTTAGCCCATAACACAACAATAATTCCCAGATTTATCTCAGATTATATCACAGCAATATACCCAATTTACTCATAAATAAAATACCGAGCAAAAGATTCAACATTACAGGACTCAAAATGTCTAACTACACATACATATAAGATATGACCATAAAAGCAATTTTTTTTATTTTTTATTTTATAGATTCACATGAATTGCTTACCCCCACACATCAAGAACCCACACATCAAGAATCCACCCCCATACACAAAACACCATACCAGATATATCATCAAATCAAACAATACTCAGATATAGTCTTGCTCTCAGTTCATTAAACCAAAATAAAAATTCAAAAAGATGAAGACTTTACCTTGGGCGCCATGAAAATGGAGTGTGTGGTGAGAGGATCTTGTAGTATTTTAAGAAAGTAAAAATAAAACAAATAAAATATAATGAGAATGGGAGGGGCGTGGATGAAAGATGTGTGTGATGTGAAGAAGAAGAAAGAAGAAGGGAGAAGAAGAAGAGAAAAGAAGGGGCGTGAGAGAGAGAATGAGGTGGGCTTAGGTTTTGGAAAAAGGAGAGAGAAATAGGGATTTGAGAGGAGGGTGTCGGTGGGAAAAATGTGATTTTATTTATTTATTTATTTATTCTGCCGACACAGCGCCTTTTTTTTTATTCGGCGCTGGTCCGCGCCCTTGCGCGTGACCGCGCCCCGGCGCGCAGTGGCGCCGTATTATTATTAATTTTTTTGAGATAAAACAACTTCTACATTGGGTTGCCTCCCAATAAGCGCGTGTTTAACATCACGAGCCTGACGGTTGCCTCTTTTATGTGCCAACAGAGTTGAGATATTGAGCCACAGTATTTTGTGACACAATTCCTCCATGATAAAATTTCAACCTTGAACCATTTACCTTAAAAGGTCTATCTTCTTCCAATGGTGATATCTCTATTGTACCATAAGGAAAAACTGTCTTCACCACATAAGGACCGAACCATCTTGATTTCAATTTTCCTGGAAATAACCTCAAACGAGAATTGTACAGCAACACTTGTTGTCCTGGTTCAAACTCCTTGTGGATAATCTTTCTGTCATGCCATTTTTTTGTTTTATCTTTGTAGATTCTGGCACTCTCATAAGCAGAATTTCTGAACTCATCAAGCTCACTCAGTTGAGCCTGTCTTTTCTCAAAAGCTTTTGTTGAATCAAAATTTAAAAATTTGACAGCCCAGAAAGCTCGATGTTCCAACTCTACAGGTAGATGACAAGATTTTACAAATACCAACTGATAAGGTGATGTACCAATAGGAGTTTTGAAAGCAGTCCTATATGCCCACAAAGCATCATCCAGCCGCTTAGACCAATCCTTCAAAGAGTTCCCAACAGTCTTCTCGAGAATCCTCTTCAACTCTCTGTTAGAAACTTCCACTTGACCACTAGTTTGAGGATGATAAGGTGTAGCAACCTTATGTTTAACACCATACTTAGCCAGTAGGTTATCAAACTGCTTGTTACAAAAATGAGTACCTGCATCACTTATTATTGCCCTTGGTACACCAAACCTTGTGAAAATATTCTTTCTCAAGAAATTTACAACCACCTTAGCATGATTGGTGGGAAGAGCAACAACCTCAACCCATTTGGAGACATAATCAATAGCAACAAGGATGTATTGGTTAGAGAATGATGAAGGAAATGGTCCCATAAAACCTATCCCCCATACATCAAATAGTTCTACCTCTAATATGCTATTTAGAGGCATTTCATCCTTGCGGGAAATGTTTCCAACTCTTTGACATTTATCACATCTTTCCACATAATCCCTTGCATCTTTGAATATCGTAAGCCAATAATACCCACTCTGTAGAAATTTTTGAGCGGTTCTATTGCCTCCAAAGTGTCCTCCATAGTCTGATGCATGGCAGTGCCACAAGATCTCATGAACTTCAAATTCTGGCACACACCTTCTTATAATTCCATCAGCACACTGGAAATACAGATAAGGATCATCCCAATGAAATCTCCTTGCATCTCTGAGGAACTTCTTCTGTTGTTGCCTGGTAAGGTTGGGAGGCAGCTCTTTTATCACCTTGTAATTGGCAATATCTGCAAACCAAGGGGGTACAAATATAGCCATCACTCTTTCATCAGGAAAATGGTCATTTATTTCTCTCTCAGGACCATCTTGTAATCCTTTCTCCTAGATGCGTGACAAATGATCTGCCACCTTATTCTCCACTCCAGCTTTATCTCGGATCTCCAAATCAAACTCTTGAAATAAGAGCATCCACCTTAACAATCGGGGCTTGGCATCCTGCTTATTCATCAATTGATAGCAGAGTGGTCAGTAAAAACAATTACCTTGGAACCCAATAAATAAGATCTAAATTTGTCCAAGGCATATACTACTGCTAGCATTTCTTTTTCAGTCGTGGCATAATTTACTTGTGCCTCATTTAAAATCTTGCTAGCATAGTATATGACATGTAACAATTTATTCTTACGTTGGCCAAGGACTGCACCTATAGCATAGGCACTAGCATCACACATGAGCTCAAAAGGTAAACTCCAATCAGGAGCTACAAGAACGGGAGCTGTAGTGAGCTTTTCTTTCAAAAGATTAAAAGCTTTAAGGCATGCATCATCAAATTGAAATTCAGAATCCTTTTCTAAAAGTTGGCTCAAAGGTTTAGCTAATTTAGAAAAGTCTTTAATAAATCTCCTGTAAAACCCAGTATGTCCTAGAAAACTTCTAACACTAGTCACATTATTAGGGGGAGGAAGTTTCTCAATCAACATTAATTTTGCTTCATCTACCTCAATCCCTTTTTCAGATATCTTATGACCTAAGACAATTCCCTCTTGTACCATAAAATGACATTTTTCCCAGTTAAGTACAAGATTTGTTTCTTGGCATCCTTTTAACACATGAGTTAAATTCAACAAACATATATCAAAACAAGAGCCAAAAATGGAAAAGTCATCCATAAATACCTCAAGGTTTTTCTCCACCATGTCAGAAAAGATGGAGAGCATGCACCTCTGGAATGTGGCAGGTGCATTACATAGACCGAACGTCATCCGTCTATAAGCAAAGACTCCAAAAGGGCAAGTGAAGGTTGTTTTCTCCTGATCTTCTGGTGCCACTGGAATTTGGTTGTACCCAGAATATCCATCCAAGAAACAGTAGTAATTGTGACCAGCCAATCTTTCCAACATTTGATCAACGAAAGGAAGTGGGAAGTGATCCTTCCTTGTGGCAGTATTTAACCTCCGATAATCCACACACATTCTCCAACCAGTAATGGTTCTAGTTGGAATCAGATTTTTTTTCTCATTGTGGACTACAGTGATACCTCCCTTTTTCGGAACTGTTTGCACCGGGCTTACCCAAGCAGTATCTGAAATTGGATAAATCATACCAGCATCAAGAAGTTTCACAACTTCCTTCCTTACAACTTCCTTCATTGTTGGATTGAGCCTCCTTTGAGGCTGCCTTACTGGTCGAACTTCTTCCTCCATGAGGATTTTATGAGTACAGAATGAGGGATTAATACCCTTCCAATCAAAAATTGACCATCCTATAGCAGTCTGATGGTTCTTCAATACTGTAATCAATATGATTTCTTGCTCAGAAGACAACCCCTTGTTAATGATAACAGGGTAAGTCTACTCTTCACCCAAGAAGATATATTTAAGAGTTTTTGGAAGTTCCTTCAACTCAACCTTTGGGGCACCATCTTCCTTATCAGAATCTTTCTTTTCAAGAACTTCAAATACCTCAACCTTTTCTTCCTTCAAAGGAACTAATCCATGCATTTCAAGTTCTTCCTCAGACTGTTGACTAGAAGGTATTTCTTCTTCCACCACTTGCTCTAGAATATAAAGTCAAAAACAATTGCCTTTATCATAAGATTATTTTATGGAGTCAAAGACGTTGATGGTGATGGTCTCATCATTCATCCTCAACTCAAGCTTGCCATTTTCAACATCAATCATGGCTCGAGCAGTAGCCAAGAACGGTCTACCCAATAACAAAGGCATTTCAGTACCCTATTCCATGTCTAACACTACAAAAACTGCTGGGAAGATGAACTTGTCCACTTTAACAAGAACATCTTCAATAATTCCACTCGGTCTCCTCAAAGATCTATCAGCGAGTTGAAGCGAAACCATAGTGGGTTTTAATTCAGTAATTCCCAGAGATTTGCAAACAGATAACGACATCAGGTTAATGTTTTCCCCAAGATCACACAATGCCCTACCAACATCAGTATTACCAATAGCAATGCGAATATTGAAGCTACCTGGATCATTGAGTTTGGGTGGAAACTTCTTCTGTATGATGGCACTACACTCCTCAGTGAGTGTGACTGTCTGGCATTCCTGCAGCTTATGTTTTCTGGATAACAAATCCTTCATGAACTTGGCATAATTGGGCATGTTAGCCAGAGCTTCAGCAAAAGGTATGTTTACATGCAACTTCTTGAAGATATCAAGAAATCTTGCATATTGCTGCTTTTGAGCATCCTTCTTGAATCGTTCTGGATAAGGTGCCACGGCTCTCACATATTCCGGATTCAACTCAAATTTCTTCCTTTCAGTAACAATAGGTGGCTCTTCTTCCTCACCTTTCTGAACAGTTTTCTCAACATCAGAAGGAATTATCACTTCTTTTTCTGTCTCCTTTACCTCCTTAAGCTTCTCATCAGCTTCTACAATTGTGCTTGGCTTTTCTGAAGCTGCTACCACCTTACCACTTCTAGTTGTGACAACCATACAATCTTCCTTGGGGTTGGTAACTGTATTGCTAGGGAAGGTACCTGGAGCTCTTTCTGTAAATTGCTTAGCCAGTTGGCCAATTTGATTCTCCAAGTTCCTAATAGAAGCATTGGTGTTTTTGGTATTTGCTCTAGTCTCCTCCATGAAAGCATTAGAATGCTGAGCCATTTGTCCAATTAACTTCTCCAAATCAGAAAGTTCTTTCTGTGGAATAGGAGGAGGTTGCAGATAATTGTTGGAACTATAGTCAAGACCACCTCCTTGACCTCTCCTCTGAAAATTACTTCCAGAAGGAAAATTCTGATTTTTTGAGAAATTTTGTTGGGGCTTCTGTTCATACCAAACCCCATTTACTTGCAACTGTTGTGGATTATCACCCATTAGAGTAGGACACTCATTAGACTCATGAGCTTCCTTACAATATTCACAAACCACAAAAGTTGATTGAACCTTGGACACTTGAAGTTTTTCAAACTTTTCATTTAAGCTGTCAAACTTTTTGGACAACAGCTTTTGTTCAGCAAGCATAGCATCATTGCTTTCCAGCTTTATCACTCCCTTTTTTATTTGAGCTGGTACGCTCTCATTCTCATTCCTTGCCAGTTTCTTTATCAAGTCAATAATAGCTTATTCAGATGTACTCTGTCGAATAGAACCTCCAGCTGCACTATTAATCACCAACCTTGTTTCAGGAGATATGCCATTAAAGAAGATCGCCACCTTTCCGTCATCATCTCCCTCATAGTGCGAACACTTTCGGATAAGTTCCTGGAATCTATTCCAGGTTGCACACAGCGACTCTCCTTCAAGCTGGCAGAAGTTGGTGATCTCATTCACCAGCTGGTTGTACTTCTCCATAGAAAAGAACATGGCAAAGAACTTTGTTCATAAGTCTTCCCATGTCATGATACTATTAGTTGGCTGCCTTTCTATCCATCTGAGAGCCCTTCCCTTAACAGCAAAAGGGAATAATCGAAGCATGATAGCATCGGTAGACACTCCATTGTGCTTAGTAGTGTCAGAGATCATCAGAAATTGATCTATGAACTCATGAGGGTCTTCCTCCTCAGCACCAGAAAATTGAGCCCTCTCCACCAAAGTAATCAAAGATGGCTTTAGCTCAAAATTGTTTGCCTCCACTGTCGGCCTGAGTATACTTGAGTTTGGCCTATTGAACACATGAGTCAGAATGGTGTCCAACAATCTTGGAGGTGGGTTGTTTGCATTGTTGTTACCCGCCATTTCTTGTATTGGTTGTACAGGTATGTTCTTGAATTCTTCCAAAATTATCTGCTTGGCAACTTTCCGCAGTCTCCTCTCGGTCCTTGAAATTTCTGGATCAAATACAAAGTCTGTAGGAGGAAGTCTACCTCGCATAAAACTCAGAAAATTTTGTTAGTAGCACCTACAAACACAAAATAAGATAGAACAAAATAAAATAAAATAAATAAAAATAAAAATCCGATCTCAAAGATCAACGGTTATTTGTAATATTGGAATTAGCAATCCCCGGCAACGGCGCCAAAAACTTGATGCTCTCCGGCAAGTATACCGTTCGCACAAGTAATATAGAAGTAAGTAGAGTATCGTATCCACAGGGATTGTAAACCAAGTACTACAATAACCAGTCCCCTTAAGTTGGAAAACTCGGTTTGTTGTTTGGAAAATTTGCGAATTGATTTTGAGTAACAATAAGAAATAAAAACTCGTTAGTTGGCGCCGTCCTATTTTGTTGTGCAATCCGGCACTAGTTTGCGCCATTCCGGCGCCAACTAGCGCCACTTTCCTGCCCTTTGTACTGAGAAGCATCCGCCCGGAGTTGCATCCTCTAGCTTTTTACAATTTTTGTATTTTTCACTTCTTCTACCTATATAAATACAACCAATAAGTGAGAAATATCATGACATGGAAAGAATCAATATATTTAGCATATATGTATTTAAATTGCTCTCTTATGACCCAATTCTTATCAATTTTAATACTGAAAAACCACACTTGCCAGAGGCACATCATCTGTCCACAATGACCCAGAAAGATTCACAACCAGCCTGAGTCTTAAGTAAACTCAACACGAAGTCCTTGGAAATGCTCTCTCATTTCCACTACAGAATCTCACGAGGTTAAAGCTTACCAGACGGCTTTTGGTGTCCTATCTTCACCTTCTGGCAAATAAACATTTGGACACGAAAACAACAATGTTCTTCTTCATTCCAAGACACATCGTCCTGGTTCTTCACAAAGTCTAGACACTCTCTGCACCTGCGCCTCTTGGATCTTTTCCATAAGCTCAAACTCGACTCTCACAGTTTCCGTCTCGAGCAGTGCACCCCCAAACAAGGAAGTCACCGTCAAAACTCGAAACTTCACAATGACAACAAAAACATCATTCGATTCTCTGGGATCACCAATCACTTTCTCAAAAGAGGTGACCTGACCCCACATACCCAAATCCACACAAAACTTGAGTGAGTTTGGTCCTATTCCATGACTCTAACATCGACAAGACTTACTATTTTATAGATCATTATTCTCAAAATAAATTCATATACCTTTCACAGTACGAAATCATAATCATGTTCGTTTCTACAAATACATGTTAGTTAACATGCTCATTCACATAGTAACGTACCTTACTTCACGTACACCTGCAAAATTTTCAATTTCAATAACATAATAAATCAAAACTCTATGCAACGGTATACCTCAATCTCCATGGTATCTGCAAAATCGAGAGTCAATTAAAGGTAAAATAACATTGATACATTACCACAATTTATCGTACTTATTTCATGTTTTACACTACCCATGGTGTTAACATGCCAACTACTTACGAAGCATATCAATAATCAACATAAGAACCTAAAGTCATGGAGACCACTCAACCCACAAACTACTTGTACATGCCCTAGACTCGCATATACAAGATCGCGCATGGCCTTGCCACAAAGTCCAAGTGTTACAAACTTAATTTTCCTTGAAGAGAATTTCCCATTCCCAAACAAAGCACCATCACAATAATGTAATGGCGTAAGGAATCTTACCTTACAACAAAAATGACCGGTGCGCCCCATGGAGACAGGCTCGGTCGAATGAGGTCTTTCGCCGAAAGATCTTCAATGAGCTTCTTTAGCTCCGCCAACTCCGGTGGCGACAACCGATAGGGAGCTAGAGAAAAAGGCCCCACACCAGGCAACAAATCATAGAGAACTCTATCTCCCGCTGTGGCGGAAACTCAGGAATCTCCTCAGAAAAAACCTCAAGGAGTTCCCCCACCACAGGAATGCCAGTGATATCCTCCTGTGTCCCACTCACCAATCTACCAACATGACATAACCAAATGTCCCTGCTCACAAGGCTCTCCTAGCTTGTAGCACCAAAATAAAAGGCGAGGAACTGGTTGTGGAATCACACGGAGACCCATTACTCGCTTGGCACAACAGTCAATCATCACAAAATTTCTGGACAACCAATCCATGCCCAGAATGATTTCCAAATTAGCCATCGGCAATCCAATCAGATCTACCGAAAATCACGGCCACCCCCCTGAAACACGACATCTTGATGTACAGTGGAAGTATCACACTTTTCTCTGATGGTGGTAGTCACCCGCAATGGTGGAGAAAGCACAACACTGGGCAACTCAAGCCCCACAACAATCGGGGTTGCAATGAAAGAATGCGTAGCCCCAGAATCAGACAAGCATCAAAAGCAATTCAACCAATGGAAACAGTACCTCTAACAAGGTTTGGAGCTTTCTCCGACTGCTGCCGATCCAAAGTTTAAACACGACTAGAGGTAGGTGGCACAACAGGTGCCGCTATAGCAGGCAAAGGAACCATCTGCAACGGAACAGCCTGAACCGCAACAGCTCTCGCGGTCTATGACAGACAGTCTCTAGAGTAGTGGCCCTCATTGCCATAGTGAAAGCAAATCAACTGGCTTGTAGCACAACATCCTGCATGCTCCTTTTCGCACCCCGCACATTTAGAAATGGAAGGAGGTCTAGCAAAGCCTCTCTGCTGCGAAGAAGTCCTCTTGAACTAACTAGGCGCCTGCCTAGCAGCCAACTGCTCTTCTTTTCCTTTTCCAGAAAACTTCCTGTCTTTCCAGGAAGTGGAACTACCAGTTCCCTTAACATCAACTTCTCTGGCCCTCTTGGCCTTGCTCACAATGCAGGCGTCCTCAATGTCTCAACACTGCTGAATCAAAGTGCCGAAATCTCTGGATGCAGCTCCAGCAATCCTGTCAGCTATCTCCTCATTAAGTCCCCTGCGAAACTTAGCAGCCAAAAACATCAGAGTAGGCATGGCGATACGAAAGTGTGCAAACTTAGCCAGTTCATTGAACTTAGCCAAGTACTCGTCCACAGACAATGAGCCTTGCACCAGATGGTCAAACTCTCCTTGCTTCCGCTCTTGCGCATCATAAGGAAAATATCTCCCAAGGAAGCCATCCTCAAAGAATGGCCATGTCATCACATGACCCTGCATCTCATAGGCGTGAGAGGTGTTCGTCTATCACTCGTGAGCGTCGCCCTCCAGCATGTACGTCGCAAACATCAACTTCTGCGGTCAGTGCACTGCATGACTCTGAAGATCTTATCCAGCGCCTGTAGCCATCTCGCGGTAGCAATAGGATCATAAGATCCATCAAAAAAAGGTGGCTTATGCTTGCGAAAAGCATTCAGCTGGCGGTCAATCACGTCACGGTCCTCAACAGGCTCAAGATAGGGCTGCATCATCCCAGTAAGATGACTGGCACCCTCAAAGTGACTTTGACCTTCGTCCTGAAGACTATGTGGAGGCGACAGCGACGGTGGAGGTGGTGGCGGAGGATTCTGGTCACCAACAGGACCAGTCCTCATCTCCTCCAACATAACCTTCATCAAAGTCATGTTCGCTAACCGGTTCGCCTCAAGCACATCTTTTGTGGCCTTCTGATTCGCCTCTCAAACAGCGTCCATCATCGCCAGGTTAGCCAATCTAGCGGCCTCCTGATCAGCTAGTCTAACCGCCTGTATCTCAGCTAATGCAGTCAGGATCGGGTCGGTTTGTCCCTCAATCGTCTGACGGTTCCTCCTAGGTAGTACCATGACTCTGCACAAGTTACACAAGGAATGAGGTGATCAGGCTCATACGATGTGG